GGTCAAGGCTGTAGTAAGCCAAACCTGCACCACTGTACTACAGCCTAGGTGAAAAAGTGAGACCCTGTCTCATGAGGTGGGTTCAAGCATAGTAATTATCCATGTTAGGGAGGAGAGGGCAGTCCAATACAAGTATAAGAGTAAGGTTGGCTCCCCTAGGGGTTTGGGGATAGGGGTGGGGACAACCTCAGAGCAAGGTGAAAAGATCAACCAAAGTGGAAGTAGTAAACTGAAGCTGAGTATCAAATCCCAAGAAGAGTGAAAAGGACTTGCACACAGGAAAGCAGCAGCAATCCTGAACTGGGTTAAGATAGCATCTGCATTAGGTGGAGGCAGCAACAGAAGGTATGTCAAAACAGGACAGATTGATCCAATAGGTAAACTATTAAAAATAGTGAGAGTCAGGGTTTCCATCTGAGATGAGAATCATAAATATGGAGGAAAAAATTAAAATGAACCCTGTTTTGTTGGATTAGATTCGGAGAAGTTACTATGAGCATATGGTATGGAGTTCAATACATAGAGATGGATAAGGTAATAGAGATTTGTGTGTGTGTATGTATATAATGTATCATAAGTATTGTGATCTCACAGTTTGTCCTCTCTTTTTTTTTTTTTTTTTGAGACGGAGTCTCATTCTGTGCCTATGCTAGAGTGCAGGGGTGCAATCTCCGCTCACCACAACCTCCCCTCCCAGGTTCAAGCAATTTTCCTGCCTCAGTCTCCCAAGCAGCTGAGATTACAGGTGTCTGCCACCACTTCGAGCTTTTTCTTTTTTTTTTTTTGAGACAGAGTCTCACTGTATCACTCAGGCTGGAGTGCAGTGGTGTGATCTTGGCTCACGGCACTCTCTCTGCCTCCCGGGTTCAAGTGATTCTCGTCATGCCTCGGCCTTCTAAGTAGCTGGGATTACAGGACTGCACCACCATGCCCAGCTAATTTTTGTATTTTTAGTAGAGACAAGGTTTCATCATGTTGGCCAGGCTAGTTTCAAACTCCAGACCTCAAGTGATCCGCCAGCCTTGGCCTCCCAAAATGGTAGGATTACAGACATGAGGCATCGCACCTGAGCCACAGTTTTCTATATAGATACAGTAACAATATAGATTTGAATTTATAGAAATGTGTATCTCTGTAAGTACACACACACACACACACACACACACACACTTCCTCCTAGCCATGCTGACTGAGAGTAGCAATAACCTATACCTAGTATCCACTTTGGCTTCTAAATATTATTTTCACCTTTTAAAAGGAATCAAGTCTCCTCAGAGAAATGGTGATTTCAGAACTAGAGTGGAATAATACAAGATGAGCCTAGACTATACTGTTGTGTCAGAAGTAGAAAAATGCTCACAGAATGAAAGATAGGTCAAAAGACACAGAAGCCAGTTTAAAGAGCTCCAACCAGTAAAACCTGAGACAGTATGAACACCAAAATAAATAACATGAATTAAAAATAAATAAATAAATAAATGACATTAGTGGAATATGACCCCATTAAAATAAAAAAACCCTAAGTCCACACTAATAAAAATAATTACGGAGTAAAGAAAGCTTCACCTTACAGTGGAATGCCAACTGATGAATGCAAAAGAAAGGTTGAAATTAGAAAACCACTACTTGTCATCAATCCCAGTCATAAATTAGGTCAAGAAACATCAAAGAAGGCTAAAATTAGTGAGGAAAAGGCACAAGGAACAAGATGTTTACATATGAAGTACTTCCCCCACAAAATCCATGTTGACTATAAAGAGAAAAAAGATTAATCTCACATTGGAGAAACCTGACAGACACACCTTAACCAAGTAATCAAGGAAACACTGAAATCATGTACTACCTGATAGGATACAAAAAAAAACACAGAATACCTTATGTGATACTCTTGCCAAAAACATAATCGTATTTAATCATGATGAAACATCAGGCTAATTCAAATAGGGGGGCATTCTACAAAATAACTGGCCTGTAATATTCAGAAGTATCAAAGTTATGAAACTCAAGGAAAGACTGAGTTATTATTTCAGATTTTAAAAGACCAAAGAGGGCCAGGCACAATGGCTCACACCTGTAATCCCAACACTTTGGGAGGCTAAGGGAGGCAGGTCACTTGAGGCCAGGAGTTCGAGACCAGCCTGGCCAACATTGCAAGAGCCTGCCTCTACTAAAAGTACAAAAAAACTGGCTGAACATGGTGGTGCACATCTGTAACCACAGCTATTTGGGAGGCTGAGACACGAGAATCACTTGAACCCAGGAGGCGGAAGTTGCAGTGAACCGAGATTGCACCACTGCACTTCAGCCCGGTTGACAGAGTAAGACTCTGTATGAAAAGAGAAATAAGTAAGAAAACCAAAGAGTCAAAATGCAGTTTGTGATTCTTTTGCTATAAAAAATATTTCTAGGAAAACATGAATGAGTTCCAAAGATCAGACAGTAATAATGCATTACTGTTAATTTCCTTATTTTGATTGCATACTGTATTTTCCCAGGAGAATAGCCTTCTTTATGGGAAATTCTGAAGTATTCAGGGGTGAGAGCATATTATATTGGTAAGTTACTCTCAACGGTTTATGGAAGGATTCTTTGTACTATTCCTGCAATCTGTAAGTTTTAATTCTTTTAAAATTAAAAAGAAAAATAAGGTTTTTAAAAAATGAACTTCAAAAGCACTAAAAAAATTGCTTATTAATATAAAGATTTTCTTTGCACAGCATCAAAGGCAGAAACAATAAAGAGAAGTTGAGTAAATTACCTAAAGAATGTAAACTTCTGCATTAGAAATAATTAAACTGCTAGAGTTTTTAAAAACAAATGTTAAATTATAGGTAATAACACACACAGCAAATATATAAGATAAAGAATATTACCTCTAATATAAAATACTTCATAAAAAAATTATAATAAAATAAACAGACATTCAAGGTCAATTAATAAACATGAATAATTTTTCTTAAAAAATTTTAAAATAACTAACCTTGGCTGGGCACCGTGGCTAATGCCTGTAATCCCAGCACTTTGGGAGGCAGAGGTGGGCAGGGTCAAGGTCAGGAGTTCAAGACCAGCCTGGCCAACATAGCGAAACCCTGTCTCCACTAAAAATGAGAAAATTAGCTGGGTATGGTGGCACATGCCTGTAGTCCCCACTATTCCAGAGACTGAGGCAGGAGAACTGCTTGAACCCAGGAGGCGGAGGATGTGGTGAGCCAAGATCTTACCACTGCACTCCAGCCTGGGCAACAGAGCAAGACTCCATCTCAAAAAAAAAAAAAAAAAAAAAGGAAGAAGAAAGAAGAAGAAGAAACTAATCTTACTTACCCAGTACTCAAACAAACTCATCCAAACATTTTAACTTTTTTTTTTTACTAGAAAGAATAGCAAAGATTTTTTTTAAGGGTAACACAGTGTACCTAACATAATAAAAGGTTATGAGCAATCTCACATAAAGCTAATACAGGGTAAGTTCTAGAGGACAATTTCACACAATGTATTTACTGAAGCTTCCAAATGTTCACACACTTTTATACAGATGCTATCAGTGTATACTAAATGCCAGAAACCAAACTAGGCCCTTCAACTACAAAGGGTTGCTTAATTAAATTCACAGTTGGTTGAATCTCGTGGTATTCTGTATTACAGACTAAGTATCTATTAAAAATACAAAAGAAACACAATTTATTGACACAAAAGATGCTGGGTTAACAAGTTTCAAAAGCAAACAAAAAATATAAACAACATGATTCAACCTTTTCGTAAGTACATACCATAAGCCAAAATACACAGCAACAACCTAGATGAGCCTAAATAAGATTCTGAATGATTTCTGTCTTATATTTATTTACTTGTATTTTCAAGTTTTTAAAATAAATATTAATTACATAATAAAAAGGGTTTTTTTGCACAAAAACATTGAAAATCTCAAAGCTGGCTGCAATTTCTTCCACAGATAGAACAAGTACGTTCAATTAAATAGTTCAACTATATTTAAAGGGACATTGGGTAATGGTGAAACCTAAAATGCGGAGGAGAGTAAAATAACAATATACATATACTAAAAGAAGAAAAATATACAGTAAAAAAATAAAATATTAAATTTTTTTTAAAGGCCAACAATAGCCAGGCGCAGTGGCCCATGCCTGTAATCCCAATACTTTGGGAGGCCAAGACAGGCAGATCACCTGCTACCAGCCTGACCAACATGGAGAAATCCCATCTCTACTAAAAATACAAAATTAGCCGGGCATGGTGGCGCATGCCTGTAATCCCAGCTACTCAGGAGGCTGAGGCAGGAGAACCACTTGAACCTGGGAGGCAGCGGTTGCAGTGAGCCAAGATCGCACCTTTGCACTTCAGCCTGGGTAACAAGGGCAAAACTCGAAAGGAAAGAAAGAGAGAGAGAGAGAGAGAGAGAGAGGAAGAGAAGAAAAGAAAGAAAGAGAGAGAAAGGAAGGGAAGGGAAGGGAGGGGAGGGGAGGGGAGGGGAGGGGAGGGGAGGGAGGAAGGGAGGAAGGGAGGAAGGAAGAAAGGAAGAAAGAAAGAAAGAGGCCAACAATAAACACCATATCTTGGGGTACAAATAACTTTATGGGGGAAGACAAGTAACATTCTGATATAGGACTATTTTTCAAAAAAGAATCTATGAAAAATTTTAATGAATATTATGCAAAATAATAATTCAAATTTAACAGACTCTTGATACTTGAAAAAGCAAAAGAGGTCAGTAATTCATAAAAGACCAATCTGCAAGGATTAAATATTCTGCAAACAGAATACTAAATACCTAGGTTACTATGAAAGGTAACATAATTTTGCTTGCTTTGTATCCTGTGACCTTAGTAACATATAGTTTAATAACTGTAGTATGGCACAGTAATTTTTTTTCCAAACCTCCCTTAATTTGATGGAGACATATAATCCTAAAAACACAAAACTTCCTACTCCCAGTTTTAAAACCAAAAAGTGATAACCAAACAGTAATAAAATAATATCCACTGTACCTTATTATAACGATCATGCGGAACAGACTGTAAAACAATTGGTTCCATTGTGGAAACATTGGCAAATTGTACCTCTGGAATATAGAGGGCACAAACCACATGGGCCCAACCTAAAAATAAGTAAATAAATATCATCTTTTCAGTTTTATCAAAAGCAAATTAACATCATTAACTTCCTTAACAGATCCCTTAAATGCCTATTGAAACAAATGCACGACAAAGACATTAACAGATTCTCATTGCTGTTTTACTTCCATTGCTTGAAAATACTCAAACCACTACTAAAAAAAAAAAGCATTCTTAATCATTTTCCCACTTATAATATATGGTAACATATATAAAGGGAAACACTTATAAATTCAGATGCTGGCACTAACACTTCTTATACAGGCAGACTAAATATTCAGATCAACACTACCTCTGAGAACCACTATAAAAAGAGTTTTTAAAAGTTTAATACTTACAATAAAATTACTAATTTAATCTTAATGACTTTAAATGTCAACATTAAATTCTTAATTTTATCTTAATGTCAATATTGTAATATTAGTAATCATTTTACTATTTTAATTTGAAATGTTTTAAATTTGATATTAAATATTAATATTTATTTTATTTATTTTAGTTTTTTTTTTGAGATGGAGTTTCACTCTTGTTACCCAGGCTGGAGTGCTATGGCACGATCTCGGCTCACCGCAACCTCTACCTCCTGGGTTCAGGCAATTCTCCTGCCTCAGCCTCTTGAGTAGCTGGGATTACAGGCATGTGCCACCATGCCCAGATAATTTTTTGTATTTTTAGTAGAGACTGGATTTCACCATGTTGACCAGGATGGTCTCGATCTCTTGACCTCGTGATCCACCCACCTAGGCCTCCCAAAGTGCTGGGATTACAGGCGTGAGCCATCGCACCTGGCTCTTTATTTAAATTTTTAAAATGAGACTGAGAATATTAAAAAGCTGATGTGATAGTGAAGAGTTTCCGGGCTCAAAATGGAAAAGAAAGGAAGTCCGAGGTTTTGGCCACTTTTGCCCAGGGAACATCTGCCTACTTCAGAGAAAGCAGTGGTGAGGATAAAGGGTGCTTTTGACAAACTCAGGGACCTAACAGTACAGGTATGTACATCCACAAACATCCAAGCGAAAAAGGCAACAAGTAAACTCCTCTCCTCCTTTCAGATGCAACACTGAAGGGCAAACCAGGGGTAGAAATACACTAAAAGTACACAGACCCTGAAAAGACTGTACCAGGGCTCTGGCCACCTTAAACTCTGAAATTTGATGAAGGTAATCCTAAATTACAAGTTCCAAGACACCAAGCAGATGCAAATACACATCCTCTCTAAAAGAAAATAGTATCATCTTGGCTACAGATAATTTATACCCCCCTGCTTTTTTTTTTTTGAGACAAATCCTTGCTCTGTTGCCCAGGCTAGAGTGCAGTGGCGTGATCTTGGCTCACTGCAACTTCCTCCTCTCAGTTCAAGCAACTTGCCTCAACCTCCCAAATAGCAGAGATTACAGATGCCCACCACCACACCTAGCTAATTTTTGTATTTTTAGTAGAGACAGGTTTCACTATGTTGGCCAGGCTGGTCTTTAACTCCCGACCTCACGTGATCTACCAGCCTCAGCCTCCCAAAGTGGTGGGAATAGAGGTATGAGCCACTACACCCAGCCTAAAATTTCTTAATTACATATAATTTCCAGCACAATAACAAGTACCAAACACATGACAGACAAGATAATATAACTGAAAATAAGCAGAAACAAGAAAATCAAAATAGATCAGTGTTCTGGAGTTATCAGATAAAGATTTTAAAATAAGTATGCTTATTATGATCAAGTACACAGAAGACAAAATTCTAAATTGATGCAAAGAACTGAAAACTGTAATAATAAAATTCCAGAAGCAAAGCAGAAATTTAGAAATCAGCCAGGCACAATGGCTTGCACCTGTAAGCCCAGTACTTTGGAAGGCTGAGGCGGATCACTTAAGCCCAAGAGTTCAAGACCAGCCTTAGCAACAAACTGAGACCCCATCTCTACAAAAAAAATAATGAGCCAGGTACAGTGGCATGCACCTATACTCCCAGCTACTCAGGAGGCTGAGGTGGCAGGACTGCTTGAGCCCAGGACTTGGAGGCTGCAGTGAACTATAATTATGCCACTGCAAATAAGCCTGGATGTGAGAGATCGTATCTCATGAAGAAAAAAAAAAAAGAAAGAATTAATGGGTGGGATTAACAAACTGTTTAGACGTGCATGAAAGAAGAATTAGTAGGAACAAAACAGGTCAGAAGAAGAAATCCATAATGTCAGCATAAGACACAAAAGTAAGAAATACAAAAAAAAGGATAAGACATGAAAAATGTAACAGGCAGGCAGGTCTAACACACATACAATCAGAGTCTCAAAGAAATATGAGAGGGAAAATGGCATGAAAGCAGTAACTGAATTGATAACACCTAAAAATTTTCCAGAAGAGAAAATTCAAAGCCACTGACTGAGGAATCACTATAAATCAGAGTAAAGATAACACACCAAGGAACATTAGTAAAACTATAGAAAACTAAGGGAAAAAACGAAAATCTTAAAAACAAAAGGCAAGTTATCAAACGAAAAATTAGATAAATAAAGCCAGAAAACTTTTTTTTTTTTTGAGACGGAGTTTCGCTCTTGTTACCCAGGCTGGAGTGCAATGGCACAATCCCGGCTCACCGCAGCCTCCGCCTCCTGGGTTCAAGCAATTCTCCTGCCTCAGCCTCTCGAGTAGCTGGGACTACAGGCACCCGCCCCCATGCCCAGCAAAGTTTTGCATTTTTAGTAGAGACGGGGTTTCACCTTGTTAACCAGGATGGTCTCAATCTCTTGACCTCGTGATCCACCCGCCTCGGCCTCCCAAAGTGCTGGGATTATAGGCGTGAGCCACCGCACCCGGCCCAGAAAACATTTTTTAAAAGATTTCCACTAAAGGTAACACCAAACAATTTTCCTTGAGTAACAGGAAAAGTGATTCCAGAAGAAAGTTTGGAACTGAAGAAAAATATAAAGAGCAATAAACATGTAGCTACATTTAATAGATAATGAACATATAAAACAATAATGCCTTCACTCATTTACAATACAGATGACTACTTACATTAAAAATTAAAACACTGGTAGGGTTTGTGATGTATGTAGCTTTCCTATAAAACTGTAACAAGCGCGGTTGCTCATGCCTGTAATCCCAGAACTTTGGGAGACCGAGGCGGGTGGATCACGAGGTCAAGAGATCAAGACCATCCTGGTCAACATGGTGAAACCCTGTCTCTACTAAAAATACAAAAAATTAGCTGGGCACGGTGGCGCGTGCCTGTAATCCCAGCTACTCAAGAGGCTGAGGTAGGAGAATTGCCTGAACCCAGGAGGCAGAGGTTGCGGTGAGCCGAGATCACGCCATTGCACTCCAGCCTGGGTAACAAGAGCGAAAACTCCGTCTCAAAAAAAAAAAAAAAAAACTATAACAAAGGGCAGGCACGGTAGCTCATGGCTGTAATCCCAGCACTTTGGGAGGCCAAGGCAGGTAGATCACAAAATCAAGAGATCAAGACCATCCTGGTCAACATAGTGAAACCCTGTCTCTACTAAAAATACAAAAATTAGCTGGGCAGGGTGGCATGCGCCTATAGTCCCAGTTACTCAGGAGGCTGAGGCAAGAGAATTGCTTGAACCTAGGAGACGGAGGCTGCACTGAGCCAAGACCACGCCACTGCACTCAAATCTGGCGAAAGAGCAAGACTCTGTCTCAAAAGAAAAAAAAGAGACTGGAAAAGGAACAGGTAAAAGATGTCTATAAGATGTCTACATGGTTTCATTCTACATTTCGTGTTAAGTGGTACACAGAGGCCAGGTGCGGTGGGGCTTATACCTATAATCCCAGCACTTGGGATGGCCAAGTTGTGTCAATCACTTGAGGTCAGGCCAGACCAGCCTGGCCAATATAGCAAAAAAATTAGCCAAGTGTCAGGTGGTGTGTGCCTATAGTCCCAGCTACTCGGGAGGCTGAGGCAGAAGAACTGCTTGAATCCAGGAGGTAGAGGTTTCAGTGAGCTGAGATAGTGCCACTGCAGTCCAGCCTGGGTAACAGAGCGAGACTCCATCTTAAAAGGAAAAAAAAAGTGGTACACAAGGTAGAATGAATTTACTGGTTTGAAAATCATAATCCTAACAGAAACCACTAGATAGATAAATATAAATACTTGTGTATATATAGGAAGCGATACGGCCAAAAAGGCAATTTAGTATAATTATATTTAAATGCGATACTAATTAGTTGCATTTTTAAACTGAGTATAATACAGCACTAAAAATTAATCACGAAAAGAAGACAAATAAGGGGGAAAAACCAATATTAAGAACAAATAGCAGAAGACCTCTACTTCTGTCCAAGGTAACTCAGATGGTCAAGAGAAAGTCACAAGGGAAACTGGAAAATGTCTTGGACAGAATGACAACAAATATGAAATGTATCAGAACTTGTTAGACGCAGGCTGGGGGCAGTGGCTCATTCATGCCTGTTATCCTAGCACTCACTCAGCCGAGGCCTGTGGATCACTTGAGCTCAGGAGTTTGAGACCAGCCTGGGTAACATGGTGAAATAAGGTGGCATGCACCTGTATTTCCAGCTTCTTGAGAGGCTGAGGCAGGAGGATCGCTTGAATCCAGGAGGTCTAGGCTTCAATGAGCCAAGATCACACCACTGCCCTCTAGCCTAGGTGACAAACTAAGACCCTGTCTCAAAACAACAACAACAAAACACACACACACACATACGCACGCACACACACATGCACGCACACACACACAGCTTGTGGGATTCAATAAAAGCAACAGAGAGGAACTTATACCATCTACATTTTCATTAGAAAGGAGTATCTAAAATAAATGACCTAAGGTTCCACTTTTGTAAGTTAGAAAAGAGGAAAACATAACACATACTAAGTAGTAGGAAGGAAATAATAAAGAGCAGAAGAGTGCCGGGTGCAGTGGATCACGAGTTCAAGAGATTGAGACCATCCTGGTCAACATGGTGAAACCCCATCTCTCCTAAAAATACAAAACTTTGCTGGGCATGGTGGCGGGCGCCTGTAGTCCCAGCTACTCGGGAGGCTGAGGCAGGAGAATTGCTTGAACCCAGAAGGCAGAGGTTGCGGTGAGCCGAGATTGTGCCATTGCACTCCAGTGTGGGTAAGAACAGCAAAACTCCATCTCAAAAAAAAAAGAGCAGAAGTGTAACAAAATAGAAAACAGGGAGATGGCATAAAAAATTAACAAAGCCCAAATCTTCCTTTAAAAAGTTCAACAAAACTGAACAATTCTTTTTGGACTGGTCAAAAAAAAACAAAAATAAAAGCAAAGGAAAAACCAGAATACAAATCACCAACATCAAGAATAACAATGGGGTAATTGCTACCAATGCTAGCAAAATTAACAAAACAATAATAAAATACTAGTGGCTCACACCTGTAATCCCAGCACTTTGGGAGGCCAAAACAGGTGCATCGAATGAGGTCAGGAGTTCAAGACCATACTGGCCAACATGAGGAGGTCCGGTCTCTACTAAAAATACAAAAATTAGCTGGGCATGGTGGTGCCCACCTTAGTCCCAGCTACTTGGGAAGCTGAGTTAAAGAATCACTTGAACCTGAGAGGCGGAGTCTGCAGTGAGCCAAGAACAGGCCACTGCACTCCAGCCTGGGTGACAGAGTGAGACTCCATCTCCAAAAAAAAAAATACTACTGGCAATGTAAGTCCAACAATTTCAGCAACTTATACAAAGTAGTCAAATTCCTTGAAAAAATAGAGCACACCAAAATTGACTTAAGTATATAAAAATAGGCCAGGCCCAAGGGCTAATGCCTGTAATCCCAGCACTTTAAGAGGATGAGGCAGGAGGATCTCCTGAGCCCAGATGTTCAATACCAGCCTCAGCAACAAAGCGAGACCACTTCTATCTACAAAAAATACAAAAAAATAAAATTAGCCAGGCATGGTGTGCCTGTGGTCCCGGCTATTCAGGAGGCTGAAGCAGGAGGATCACTTGAACCCAGGAGTTTGAAGCTGCAGTGAGCTATGACTGCACCACTGCACTAGCCCAGGTAACAAACTGAGACTCTGTCTCAAAAAAAAAAAAAAAAAAAAAGAAGTGTGCCTATAATTTTGCCAAAAACAAATTTATCAAAAATTTTCCCTGAATTTTCAGTTTCTCATTAAGTTTCATTGGTAAATTCTATATAGAAGTCAAAGAAAAATAACACAAACTGTTTAAGTGACTAGCATAACCCTCAACAAACACCTGATGAAACCAGTATAATTTTTAAAGAAATAGAAAATGAAAGCACACAACAAAAATAAAATATATGTCTGGAGTTAGACAAGTGAATTTACAGTATCCTAAGAGTTTCAGAGGATTCAGAAAGAGGAAAAAAGTACATAGTAACATTATTTTTAAGTTAATAGAATAGAATGGAATGAGTGAAACAAACCAGAATAGGAAAAAACAAATACAAAACATTTAATAAGATGGAAGGTTTACATCTGGTGTAATGGCTCATGACTGTAATCCCAACACTCTCCAAAGCTGAGGCAGGAACATCACTGGAGCCCGAGTACAAAGCTACAGTGAGCTAGGATCCTGCCACTGCACCCCAGCCTGAGCAACAGTATGAAAACCTGTTGCTTTGGAAAAAAAAAAAAAAAAAAAAACACTTTGAAATAGTGACAGCCTTTGTAACTAATAACTCAAAATACAGAAGTCATGAAAGATTAATAAATTCAACAAAATAAAAATCAAAAACTCATGCATGGTAAAAAAAAAAAAAGTTTTTTTAAAGCACAATGTTAACAAACACTAGATGGGCAAAAATTAGTCCAACTCATACCAAAACAGCTTAGTAATATATGAGGTGCTTCTTATGAACGCTCCAGTAAGTCAAACTAAAAAGATCAACAACCCCAGCTGGGCATAGTGGCTCATGCCTGTATTCCCACCACTTTGGGAGGCCAAGGTGGGTGGATCCTATCTCTACCAAAAATTTAAAAATCAGCTGGGCACGGTGGCATGCGCCTGTAATCCCAGCTATTCGGATGAGTGAGGCAGGAGAGTCACTTGAACCGGGGAGGCAGAGGCTGCAGTGGGCCAAGAGTAAGCCACTGTACTCTAGCCTACATGACAGAGGGAGGCGCTACCTCAAAAAAAAAAAAAAAAAAAAAAGATCAACAACCAAATCAAAATGAAGACCGCAGAAGAGAAAAAAACAAAGAGCTCTTCAAGCTATAAAAATATGTCTACTTCACTAATATTAAGAGAAATGCAAAACTACTGCTTAGATATACAAACTTTGACCTGTTAGATTACCGAAGGTATGAAAAACAGCTTTTTTATTCATATATTGGTAAAACTGCAGTTCTCCCCTATGGGGAGAATAATTTGGCACTATCTATCAAAATTAATTGCAAAACTCCTTTGACCCAATGTTTCCACCTCTGGAAATTAATAATCCTACAGATATACTTGTATAGAAGCAAAATGACATATATACAAGAGCTAGTCATCAAGTAGAAGATAAGAAAGTTCATCAACAACTGACTGATTAGATAACATGGTTAAAAAGAAGAAAAAAGCTTGTATACTGGTAATAAGATAAATTGTTCAGGCTGGGTGTGGTGGCTCACACCTGTAATCTCAACACTTAGGGAGGCTGAGACATATTCATTTGAGGTCAGGAGTTCAAGATCAGCCTGGCCAATATAGTGAAACCCCATCTCTACTAAAAATACAAAAATTAGCCAGGCACGGTAGTGCGTACATGTAATCCCAGCGACTTGGGAGGCTGAGGCAGGAAAATCCCTTGAGCCCAGAACTCGAAGGTTGAAGTGAACTAAGATCACACCACTGCACTCCAGCCTGGGTGAATGAACGAAGCTCCATCTCAAAAAAAGGAAAAAAAAAAAGAAAAACAAGATAAACTGTTCAGTGAAATAAATTAAGATGCAAAAGTACAGAAGAGTATACAATATTAACCCATTTGTATAAAGATGGAGGAAGTAAATAAGTATTTGTCTATTCACATTTGAATATGCAAAAGAAACCTAAAAAGATATTCAAGAAAATAATTATTACATGGTAGAAGGAAAGCTGTTGATAAACTGGGTAGATGGGGAAGAGGAGTAACTGGAAGAGTTTCCAATATATTTTTAAATTTTGTAAAATGTGACTGTATAATATAGTCTGAACATTAAACTGCAATATATATAGCCAAACGAAATAATTGTATTTTTCCCTTTTATTTACTCACACCATTATGCCAAAACTACTTCAGAGGTGGCTATCCAAAATGGAGAAAAGTACAGTAACAGTAACTAAACCTCTACTTTTTTTAGTTGCCTTATCAAATATGCCATTGGTTAATAAATTAATATCTACATATTTCAGATAGTACTGAGCTATAGAGAAATATGATTTCTTTGATAACTAAAAATAGAGAAGAAAATGAGCAATATACAAGTGTCCATAAAAAAGAATACCAAAATGTGATACAAATGTCAGCATTTTTTTTTCTGAGACAAGAGTCTCACTCTCTCATCCATCCAGGGGCTGAAGTACAGTGGTGTGACCATGGCTCATTGCAGCCTCAACCTCCTAGACTCAATCCATCCTCCTGCTCAGCTTCCCAAGTAGCTGACACTGCAGGCACACACCACCATGTGTGACTATTTATTTACTTTCACAGAGACAAAGTCTCCCTCTGTTGCCCAGGCTGGTCTCAGACTCCTATGCTCCAGTGATCCTCCTACCTTGGCCTCTCAAAGAGCTGAGATTACAGGTGTCAGGCAGCACACCAAGGGTAAAAGTGAACATTTCTTTATATTCAAGTAACAAAGATTCTCAGAGTTACATAAAATTAACACTCACTAGAAACATCATCTGTCTAGAGATATATAAAACAGAAAAAAAGAATCTAAAACAACAGATCTTACATCTAATAACAAAAAAGAAATGTGGTTCATTTTTCAAAAATAATTCCTAATGCAAGAAATTATATTCATAAAAAAAAAAAAAACTTTTTTTTTTTTTTTTTTTTGGGAGACAGTCTCACTCCGTCGCCAGGCACCAGACTGGAGTGCAGTGGTGCAATCTCCGCCCACTGCAACCTCCGCCTCCTGGGTTCAAGCAATTCTCCTGCCTCAGCCTCCTGAGTAGCTGGGATTACAGGCACGCGCCACCATGCCCAGCTAATTTTTGTATTTTTAGTAGAGACGGGGTTTCACCATGTTGGCCAGGATGGTCTCGATCACCTGACCTTGTGATGCGCCTGCCTCGGCCTCCCAAAGTGCTGGGATTACAGGCGTGAGCCATCGCGCCCAGCCAACTTTTTTTTTTTTTTTTTTAAGACAGAGTCTTGCTCTGTCGCCAGGCTGGAATGCAGTGGCAAAATCTCGGCTCACTGCAACCTCGACCTCCCAGGTTCAAGTGATTTCCCTGCCTCAGCCTCCTGAGTAGCTGGGACTACAAGCAAGCACCACCAGGCCTCGCTAATTTTTCTATTTTTAGTAGAAATCAGGTTTCACTATGTTGGCCAGGCTGGTTTTGAAATCCTGGCCTCAAGTGATACCCCCTGCCTCAGCCTCCCAAAGTTCTGGGATTACAGGTGTGAGCCACCTCACCCAACCAAAACAAGTAAAAATTTTAATTAGAATTTTGTATTTAATAGATCATTTTTCATAAAACAGCCAATGCTTAAGTTTGTCCACAAAGCAGAAAAATTGTGGTTCAACACAATAAGGATTCATAAATCATAACCATTACTGTTAAAAACAGTAGTAAGCACTGTTGAAATTTCATGAAATAAAATAAACTACCAGATATTTGAAAATACTCCACCGCCAGTTTTCAATAAAATTTTTTTCAAGAAATCTCTGCACTTACCCCCATTATCTGTTCTTTTTAAAGCTCCATCCTTATGAGGACAAAGTTCACATCTCTATAAAAACAAAAAAAAAGAAAGAGGTAATGAAGAAATCTTTTAGATAATCAAAAATGTAACATCTTCCCTACAACTTCAAAACTACTGAAAATGTGGGAGCAGCATTTGTACTAGTTGCCCCCTGCCAGAAGAATATTTCAGAACTTTCTTCACCAGCAGTTGTTCTCCATGACATGTGATCTTCTTCAGAGGCAAGTAACTTTTTTAAACTACATTTTAACTTTTTTAACTCCCGCCACAGGCCAGGCACAGTGGCTCACATCTGTAATCCCAGCACTTTGGGAGGCCGAGGCTGGCGGATCACCTGAGGTCGGGAGTTTGAGACCAGCCTGACCAACATTGAGAGCCCTGTCTCTACTAAAAATACAAAATTAGCCAGGCGTGGTGGCACATGCCTGTAAATCCCAGCTACTCAGGAGGCTGAGGCAGGAGAATAAATTAAACCCGGGAGGTGCAGGTTGTGGTGAGCTGAGATCATGCAATTGTGCTCCAGCCTGAGCAACAAGAATGAAACTCCATCTCGAGAACAAAAAACAAACAAACAAATACTCTGGCCACAATTTTTTAAAACTTACATTAATAAAAACAAAAAGATGCTGGAATGTTTTTACCTGGGGAGCAGGAGAAAAAATGAAAAGGTCCTCTCAATTTAGGAATGGGACAAAGCTTTTAACATCTGCCTGCTAACTGTTTACTTCTTGTCTTACCATCAGCTAGGATGACTGCAGTCAAGTAGCTCTGGTTTCTCTTAAAAAGCCAAACTCAAGAATTTACCATTTTAATTTAAGTGGCAAGAAATGATCTCACATATGCTGATCTCCCTTCTGAAAAGAATGAGGCTAATCAGCTATTATTATTACTCAAACATAATGGTACTCAAAATTTACTGTGGCTCCCTCTCCCTCCCATCCTCAGGATTTAAAACCAAAAATAAATGTAGAGCCAGTATTACCACTTCTTGTGAAACACGTTTCAATGGCATTGTCTTACTATGAAGAGTATGTTCCTGAAAGTCACACTTGAGTATTATTTATATCCCACCTTGTTCCCAAAATAGGTTTTGTTGCTTATGATATAGTAACATAGACCAGGCACAATGGATCACACCTGTAATCCCAGCACCGAGACAGGCAGATTGCTTGAGCCCAGGGGTTCGAGAACAGCCAGGGCAACATGGCAAAACCCCATCTCTACAAAAAAACAAATACAAAAATTAGCTGGGTGTGGTGGTGCACACCTGTAGTCCCAGATACTCAGCAGGCTGAGGTGAGCAGATCAATTGAGCTCAGAAGGTCAAAGCTACAGTAAGCCATGACTGCACCACTGCACTCCAGCCTGGGTAACAGAGTGGACTCTATCTCAAAAAAAAAAAAAAAAAATTAAAAATATATACATACACATATATGCACACATACATACATACATACACACACACAGGGGTACACACATTATTTATATACAAACATATATACACACATACTATATATGCACACTATATATATACATGCTACATATATACACACACATATATGTTGTGTGTATATATATTACAACAATATATATATATATATATATTGTGTGTGTGTATATATATTACAACAAAAAATTAGAGTAAAAAATTAAGTTGAAGGCCGGGCACAGTGGCTCACGCCTATAATCCCAGCACTTTGGGAGGCTGAGGCAGGCAGATCGCAAGGTCAGGAGTTCGAGACCAGCTTAGCCAACATGGTGAAACGCTGTCCCTACTAAAAATACAAAAAGTTAGCCAGGCATGGTAGCACACACCTATAATCCTAGCTACTCAGGGGGCTGAGGCAGGAGAATTGATTGAACCCAGGAGGCAGCGGTTGCAGTGAGCTGGAATCACACCACTACGTTCCAGCCTGCGCTACAGAGCGAGACTCCATCTCAAAAAAAAAAAAAAAAAAATTAAGTTGAAAAAGTTTTTTTTTTTGAGATAGAGTTTTGCTCTTGTTACCCAGGCTGGAGTGCAATGGAGCGATCTCGGCTCACCGCAACCTCCACCTCCTGGGTTCAGGCAATTCTCCTGCCTCAGCCTCCCGAGTAGCTGAGATTACAGGCACACGCCACCATGCCCAGCTAATTTTTTGTATTTTATTTCAACGGCCGGGCGCAGTGGCTTACGCCTGTAAATCCCAGCACTTTGGGAGGCCGAGGCAGGTGGATCACGAGGTCAAGAGATCGAGGCCATCCTGGTCAACATGATGAAACCCCATCTCTACTAAAAATACAAAAAATTAGCTGGGCATGGTGGTGCGTGCCTGTAATCCCAGCTACTCGGGAGGCTGAGGCAGGAGAATTGCCTGAACCCAGGAGGCAGAGGTTGCAGTGAGCCGAGATTGCACCATTGCACTCCAGCCTGGGTAACAAGAGCGAAACTCCGTCTCAAAAAAAAAAAAAAAAGTACAGAAAGCATAAACTGTAAAAGCCTATTGAGGCTGGGTGCAGTGGCTCATGCATTTAACCCCAGCACTTTAGGAGGCCAAAAAGGGAGGACCACTTGAAGTCATGAGTTCAAAATCAGCCTAAGCAACAAAGTGAGACTTGTTTCTACAAAAAATAATTTTTAAAAAAATAGAGCCTATTGATAATGTTTAGATATTTGTGCCTCCCAATCTCATGTAAAAATATAATCCCAATGTTGAAGGTGGAACCCTAGCAAAAGGTTTTGGGTAATGAGGGCAGATCCCGCATCAATGGCTTGGTGCTGTTCTTGTGTGTTTGCTATTATTAGTTCATGTGAGATCTGATTGTTAAAGAGCCTGGCATCTTGCTCCCTTCTCTCACCACATGACACTCCTGCTCCTCATTCCCACTCCTGCATGAGTAAAAGCTTTCTGAGACTAAAGATGTTAGTGGTATGCTTGTAGAGCCTGCAAAACTGTGAACCAAATAAAACCTCTTTTCTTTTCTTTTTTTGAGATGGCGTCTTGCTCTGTTGCCCAAGCTGGATGGATGGAGTGCAGTGGCGTGATCTTGGCTCACTGCAACCTCCGCCTCCTAGGTTCAAGCGATTCTTCTGCCTCAGCCTCCTGAGTAGCTGAGACTACAGGCACATGCCACCATGCCTGGCTGATTTCTGTATTTTTAGTAGAGAAGGAGTTTCACCATATAGGCCAGGCTGGTCTCAATCTCCTGACCTCATGATCCACCCACCTCTGCCTCCCAAAGTGCTGGGATTACAGGTGTGGGCTATCACACCCAGCCAGCTCTTTTCTTTATATTAATAATCTACCCAGTTTCAGGTATTCCTTTATAGCAACACCAAACAGACTCATAGCACTGTATTTCTTGCCTTTCAATATTTTACTCTCCTGATTTTCCTCTTACCTCTTTGGCAGCACTTTCTGATCACCCTACCAAACCTTTAAATGGTGAAGTTCCTCAGGGCTCTAGCCTAAGATATCATCTTATTTCATGTGAAACACTACACAATCTTATTCACTGTCCAAATTTCGATTACCAGCTAAATTATAAAACAGTGACTCCCAAATTTTATCTATTTGTATCTGTCCTCAGGTTCAAGAGTAAAACTCTATATGCTACATAAACACTTTATTTTGACACAGTCTCAACCCTGCTGTCCAGGTTGGAATGCAGTGGCTTGATCTCAGCTCACTGCAACCTCCGCCTCCTGGGTTCAAGCAACTCTCCTGCCTTGCCTCATTCTTCCGAGGAGTTGGGATTACAGGTGTGTGCCACCAGCTAACTTTTTCTATTTTTAGCAGAAATGAGGTTTCATCATGTTGCCCAGGTTGCTCTCAAACTCCTGGCCTCAAGTGATCCATCGACCTCGGCCTTCTAAAGTGCTAGGATTACAGAGGCAAGCCACCACAGCCAGCCTAAATAGACACTTTAAATGCTTCACAATTTATGACAAAACCTGCTCTTCCTGCTCTTTCCGTATATTGGTAATGATATTTTCAACGACACATTGTTCATACAAGACACCTAGTATACATAATCTTTGACTACTTCATACCTTATTCCCTAACCTCTTTTAATCCACAACTGTATTTTGCCCTTCCTCTTCCTAATACTGGTGAGATCTCCCTATCTCTCTCCATCTCTACTATTACCGTACTTAAAGCCAGCATCACCTTTCATCAGGACCACTTCAGTCACGTCCTAAATACAGTAGTCCCCCAGTTATCCACGGGAGAAACAATCTAAGAACCCCAGTAGCTGTCTGAAAACACAAATGGTACTGAGCACTTGCTATACATACGTACCTATGAAAAAGTTTAATTTATAAATTAGGCATAGTAAGCGATTAACAACAATAAAAAAACAGAACAAACTGGGTGTAATGGCTCATGACTATAATTCCAGGACTCTGAGAGGCCAAAGCAGGCTGAACAGCTGAGGTCAGGAGTCCAAGCCCAGCCTGGCCAACATGGCGAAACCCCCTCTACTAAAAATACAAAAAAATTCACGGAACGTGCTGGCACATGCCTGCAGTCCCAGCTAAGCAGGAGGCTGAGGCACAAGAATCGCTTGAACCCGGGACGGTTCAATCGCCTCCCTCCTTTAACATATGAATTACAGTTAGAGATGAGATTTAAGTGGGGATACACAGTCAAACCCTATCAATTGTGTACAGTAATGTCCTAGGTTTTCACATTCACTCACCACTTATTCACTGACTCACCCAGAGCTCCTTCTAGTCCTGCAAGCTTCATTCAGGATAAAGCCCTATGTAAGTGCGCTGTTTTGGTTTTTTTTTCCTTAAATCTTTCATACCATTATTTTGACTGTACCTTTTCTATGTTTAGAAACACAAATGGCCTGGCATGGTGGCTCACGCCTATAATCCCAGCACTTTGGGAGGCCAAGGCGGGTGGATCATGAGGTCAAGAGATCGAGACCATCCTGGTCAACATGGTGAAACCCCGTCTCTACTAAAAATACAAAAAATTAGCTGGGCATGATGGTGCATGCCTGTAGTCCCAGCTACTCGGGAGGCTGAGGCAGGA